GGGGGCCCGGGCTGACTCGCAGTCCTGGCCGAGGGGCCAGAGGGCGAGAAGAACTGCCCGAGGAAGGGTCCCAAACTGGAGCTTGGGTCCTCAGACAGGGCTTCCGGGGTGGGGCTTTTTGCAGGGGTGTGGCCCATGAAGGCTCCGCCCATGCTGGGCTGAGTGACAATCATCATTTTTTTTTTTACTGTGGCACTGGGCATTGAACCCAGAACCTTTTCAGTGTGTTAAGCCCCAGGCCTTTAATTAATTTATTTATTTTTATCTTGAGACAGAGTCTTGTAAAGTTGGGTCATTCAAGCTGGGCTTGAATTTGTAATCTTGCCTCAGTGTCCCAAGTAGCTAGGATTATAGGATCCAAATCTTTTCATGAATTTTGGCCAAAATATTAATGTTTAGTTTTAATTATAGATCTCACATATTTAATTAGAATATTCTGCCTTTCTATTTATGAAATTTTAATCACAGGAATCACTATAAGGAGAAGGGCTTAAGTTATGGAACCTTTTAAAAAATGCTATGGCCAAACTCTGACTGTTCTCCCTTCTCTTGCAGTCCTGGGGATGAGTGTAGGGCTCCCCCACACTCAGCACTCTAACCCCTGTCACATTTTGAAATTAGAGTCTGAGTTGTTGATGGCTTTATGTATTTTAAAATGCCTCAAAAAAGGATATTATTCCCTGAGAAGTTTAAATCGAGTGAATATCAAAGGTACATTAGCGATTCTGTATTTACATTTCTTTTTTGAAATTTTTGTCCAGGCGTGGCACACACCTGTAATCTTAGCACTCAGGAGGCTGAGGTAGGAGGATTGCCGTGAATTCTAGGCCAGCCTGGACTACATAGTGAGTTCAAGGCCAGCCTGAACTACCTAGTGAGATTCTGTCTCTAAAATAAAATAAAATAAAATTGTTGGTTAAAAAAACAAAATTTACCATTGTAACTAACTTTTATGCATACAGTTCTGTTAAGTACTGTGCAGCAGGATTTCTGAATGTAGTAAAGGTAATGTGTTTCTGTTCTCCCGACTTGTGTTTCATTTCAGCCTAGCTTTTTTTTTTTCCGGTACTGAGGATTGGATCCAGGGCTTTTCCAGTGAGCTATATCCCCAGCACCTTTTGATTTTAAGGCAGGATCTTGCTGAGCTGCTAAATTGCTCAGGCTGGGCTCAAACTTGTGATCCTCCTGCCTCAACATCACAGAATGCTTGGATTACATATGTGCACCACCACATCTGGCTAACCGTCTGCCTTCTTTTAAAAATAGGTATATAAGGGATATGTTGATGATCCTCGAAACACTGACAATGCATGGATGGAGACAGAAGCTGTGAATTACCATGATGAGACAGGTAATTTCTATCAATTACACTGATAGGAATTGGAGGGTCAGTTTAAGCCTAGCAGCCCACTAGGGCATGACTACATCCCCACTGTGTTAGCATTTCAAGCCAGATAACTATTTACTTTAGGATTGCACAGTATTTTTATGAAACCAAAGTTGTTGGTACTAAAGAGATTCATGGAACAAAGCCTTGAAAGTGTTACCACCAGTGACTAAAATTTCTTTAATCTGATATTAGCATATGAAATTAAGCTTGAATATATGGATTTAAATTATGAACCTTAAAGTTCTCGTACTATTTGTATAGCATGATTCTATTTAAAACAAGCAACTGGGCACTTGTGTGGGAAAGAATGGCAATGAGAAAAGAAATGGGATTTATATTTGTCATACTCTGGAATATTTTTGTAATAAGCATGCTTTATTAAAGTTCAGAACAATACCAAAAAGATTGCAAGTTGTAAAAAATTTAAAATGAGTACTTTTTCTGCTCCATGGATTTTAAAATTTATTGAGGGAAGTCAAATCTTACTATGCGAAGGAAATCTGCTATCATAAAAATTAGTTATGGTCTTTACACATTGAGTGCGTTCTCTTGAAGCACATTGTGTTGTTAAGTGGGAAGATGTTTCATTTGGTATTCATCTGTAGTATAATGAATTGGGGCCTTACCAGAGAACTGAATGTTCTTTGTCTGGCTTCTTTAGAAGTGGTGTAACTTTGTGCAGGTCACGTGTCCTTCTGGACTCGGCTAGAACTAGAAGAGCTGTCACTTTTACACTCGAGCTTTTGCTTGTTGGTCTTGGGGGAAACTCCTAGCACCATTTCCATTCTGTTAAAAGTTTATCCTTCTGGTATTGAGAAGTAGGAGAAATAGCAGATGTAACTTAGAATGATGTTTATACAATTTAAAACTGACAGTTTTTTTTATTGTGGGGTTAAAAACAATGACTTCTCCTCTAGATGTTGATTGTATAGTTTATGGGCAGATAACATCAAAGCCTTTGGCTTATCTAAGTTTGGTTGTTAAGCTTGGTTGATCTCTTGAGACTGTTCTTGGCCTTTCAGCATGCCTTGTAGTTTATTTTTTTTAATTTTTTTTTTTTGGTACAGGGGATCGAACTCAGGTCCTTGCACTTACCACGCAAGTGGCGGAACCACTGAGCTAAATCCCCAGCCCCATTGTAGTTTATTTTGAAAGCTGAACATGGTTTATCTGGTAACAGAAATTAAGGCAAATGGGATCATTTTTATGAGGTTTCATGCTTATCTGGCTAAGAGAGGTGTTTATTGTTTGTTATAGCTGTAAGTATCAGAAGTTAAATATCCTCTAGTATCCTTGTTTTTATCTCCCTGTTACATTTGGGTTTCTCTAGAGACTTATTTTCTTAAATTGTTTTATTGGTACATTTTAGGTATATCGTACATTTACATTTATCATTGGGAACTTGTACCTTTACATGATGTGTTTTGGTTCTTCTTTTTTCCCCTTCCCCTGCCCTCCCTTCAACCCCTCCATGAGACTTTTTTTTTTTGAGTGGTTCTGGGGATTGAACCCAAGGCTTTTGCATTGAGCTATGTCCCTAAGCTTTTCTAAATTTTTAAAATTTTGAGGCAGGGGCTCATTAAATTGCCCAGGCTGGGCTTGAACTTGGGATCATCCTATATCAGCCTCCCGAAGAGCTGGGATTACAAGCATGTGCCACCACAGCTGGCTCCAGCAGAGGTTACTTAGTAAGGCTCATAGCATCTGAGCTATGCCTTCTTTCACTTGTATCCCCGTTATGGTAGTAAGTTTGGAGGTAGGGGAATCATAGGAGAATTCTGTGATTGGGTCTCAGTCTTTTAGTGGGCCCATATCTGAGCTGAGACCGTCACACCTGCTTCTCAGCTTCTCTTCCTCCTCTTCCTATTCTTAGGACAGTTAGGAGGTCTAGTGGAGGCTGCAGTTGGGTATTTGCTCTCCCCTAAATTGGTTAGGCTTTGGTAAACTAGTTTTTCATGAAGGCAGTATGGTGTGGGCATATTTCAGAATGGTTGCTTTTCCCATCTCCCTGCTAGAAGTGAGAGAGTGTCTGTGTGCCTGTGCCCTCAGTTCTTTGATGGAGCTATGTAGAATTATTATTATTTCTTTTGGTATTGGGGATCGAACACAAGTCCTTCCGCTTGAGGGGCAGGAGGCAGAACCACTGAGCTAAATCCCCGGCCCCTAAGTAGAATTATTTATTTTCAGTTCAACTCTTTTCTTGTGTAGATGAGAGTGGGACTCCTGAACTCTGCCTATCAGACTCTCTTTCATTTTGTATAATTTACTAAGTGACCTGAGGGACAAGTAAAAGAACATTTTAGACATTCATTCTGATAAAAAAAAGTGATGTTACAGGAAGTTGATACTTCTGTTTAACTTTTGGGTTCAGATTTACTTTGTTTTGCAATGCTGGGGATGGAACCCAGGGCTTTGTGCATGCTAGGCGGGCACCCTGTCACTGAGCTATACCTCAGCCTTTCAGGCTTGCTTTGTAATTCTGTTTCTTTATTGATGGTTAAATGTAGGTTCAGGGGGGATATGCATAGAACTGTCATTTAGGCATTGAGATTTGGAAACCTGTTTGCTAAAATATAAATTAGTTCTTTTTATAAAGGTTGTTATTATACAGGTAAAAGTAACTGGAAGTTATTTAGAAAATAGATGAAGTAAAGGGGGAAATATTTTAAAAATTATTATTTCATTACCCAGGAGTATGCATTTCCTTTCTAAAAACAACTGATAAACATTGCCAAACTGTCCTGTAGAAATATACCATTTGCATTCCTGTGAGAACACTTATTTTACTTATTATAACTAGAAATATTTTAAGAAATTATATATGTGTGTGTATGTATGTATATCTATATAAAGTAATCATAGATTCTTTCTATTTGGTTTCTGGTTTGGTGTTACTTGAATATATATAGTTTTACTGAAAAAGAAAATTCCTTTTTTTGATGGTGGTTTCCTGGTGACCAGGTGAGATCATGGACAATCTGGCCCTGGAAGCTGGGGATGATGCTGGGAAAGTGAAATGGGTGGACATCAGTGACAAGCTGAAGCTGTATGCCAGCCACTCTCAGTTCATCCGCCTTGTGGCAGAGAAGCGAGATGCGCACTGGAGTGAGGACACAGAAGCTGACTGCCGTGGCTCCTAGCCTGTGTCTCCAGGTCCTCAAAGGCCAGCAAGGAGCATGTCCTGAGGAGAGGGAGAGTCACAGAGCTCGTGCTGGGGCAGGCCAGGTCACCCAGAAATCATTTTATTCATGTTCAGAATGTTTATATTTAGAAGGTTTGGCATCTGAGTAAAATGAGATTTAGTGATAAAATTTTCATCTTTCTGGTCAAAAGGATTTGATACAGTGATATTTTGTATATGTCCTATTTAAGCATGCTGTAAGCTAAATTTAAATAACTGATGCTCTTTGGAGAATTGTTAACTAGCATAAAAATAAATTCTCGATTGGCTGTAACTTCTGCTTTCCATCTAGTTCTTGTTAGTTCTTTTCATCCTACTAATCTGAAAAACGTGAAAACCTCATGCATTCTTGGCTTTGAGTCATCAGTTTTATAAATTACAGGTATCCTTTTAGTCAGTAAGGTCAAGATCAATGAATATGCGTTCATATTCTCATTTTCAGAAGTCCTAAACTTAAAATAATCTCTCCAAGGAATTAGTAATGTGTGGAAATTTTACTCTAAGTACCGTGTGTCACAAATTGATTAAAAATGGATGTAGAAAGGAATAGAAAGGAATTGAAGTCAGGCAGGGTCTGAGAGAGGTCCTTGGACTGACCTTGTTTTTGTTAGGGAGTGTTAAGGTTGAAGTAAGTTTTTTTGAGATGCATGGTTAACGTTCTAAATCAGGAAAGCAGAAGGTTGGTGTACCAGTGTCTGTCTCTTGGAAGCAAGGAAGAGGAAAGAAAAATAACACTACATTGTCCCAGTGGACCTGTGTGGCACATCCTGGCCAAAGAAAGCCATTGGGAAGTTTCATGATATCAACTCCTGTCAACCTAAGTAGGAGCTGTCACACCAAGTAGGAGCTGTCACACCTCCTTCATTCCAGATGGAATAGAGATGGGGCATCTGAAGGAGAGGAGGCCAAGGGAAAAAGACACAGTGCTTTTCTTCAGATGTGTGAGAAAGGTGTTAGGTTTACTCTGTAGCTCAAGAACAGAGCTAGGGTTAAGGCTAAACAAATGATTTTTTGTTTTGTTTTGATTTTTATTGATTTATTATTAGAACTTTCTTGTTGGTAAATCTGAATGGAACTGACAGGAGGCCTTTCCTTCTTAGTCCACCTTAAAGTTTTGCTAAGAAACATTTACACATGTGATTTCAGGATACCTTGAACTTGTTGGAAGTCATGTAATAATTGTTTAAAATCCATAAACCCTGTGCCCTAGGCCATGTCATAAGGGACTTACACTTGATAAGGATGATCTCCTCTGGGGTGGGAGGCTGCAGACCTTGCCTCAGCAGGAAAGGGCTTTGACTTTTCCTGTTTTGCAAGGAGAAATTTCTCTTCATGGCACGAAATAGAACTCTTTCAACTTGACACTACTTACAGAAGCTCTCAGGAAAATGTGAGCAACTTTATGAAAAATGGCATTTATTTATGTTTAATAGTTTTGATACATTTAAACAAATAGACACTGGGTTATATTAAAATTTTATTTTAAGTAAAACTAAAGCAAATGACTGGTCTGTAGATCATGAATTTTTTGTGGATTTTGGAGTTTTCACTGAAACTTTTATAGAGTGTACAAAATGATAAAACTATCATTTGTAGATAAGCTAGAACCATATAATCTTCTGATATCTGTAAATATTCAGCACCATCTGAATAGGAAAAACCAAATGAAAATATTAGTTTAAGACCTTTTTGGGGTTATACCTGCTCCTATATCACCAAGTAATATTCCCTTCATGTTTGCTGTTCTTATGTCTTAGGTATAAAGAATATTCTTTCTTCTCCTTTAGAGACATATAATAAAGTAATGAATATCTGTATTATATCATAATTTTCACAAAACTTACAAGTTGAGGTGGTATTATTCCCAGTTACAGATGAAGAAATAGCTATTTTGAAATGCTGTCTAGGATTTTATCCAGTAAGGAACCCAGCTTGAATTTGAATCTCTGTCTTCCTAGGTCTGGAATCTATTTTCTGTCTATTCCTTTCTGAGGTTATGAATCTTTTGTGATTTGTTACTTTCAGGGTGCAGTTGGGTAGCTTATGTTACATGAGTAGTACTCATGTCAGCCAAAGTAACTGTGACTTGAGATGTAAGGGCCAAGCCTGACTGGATGGCATTGTTGAAATTGCTTGCATGATTTTATCACAGAGACAATTCATTTCTTTTCTTAATCTTAGAGTAAATGGTCATAATCAGTATTTGTCTTACTAGCAGGTATTCTTGAGCCTTCCAAAGCATTTCAAACACAGATAATGCTGAATGCATGTAAGAACATAATTGTCTTAAAAGTAATATGCAGTAGCGTTTGAAAGATATTTGGACATTTTACTAACCGTGTATAACTTCTGGCATCATAGCAATGGAATTATTTCTGTTGAAATAGACAATACAGATTATAGCTATTATATGAAGATATTTTCACAGTAATTCCTTCTTCACTGCTACCCATCTATCCCATTTTATGGTTATTTTATTGCCGACGTGTTAATATGGATATGATTATGTGGGTTAGGGGTAGAAAATAATGTAGTTGTGTTATACATAAATACTGATAAATTGAATCCTCAACTGTTTTTTTCTGAAACATGGAGCTTCATTTTTCTCATGTGGCCTCTGATGGCCTGATACAAGTATCTAAAGTGGTAGAAAGTACTAAGTAAGCGCTTTAGGACAGTAAAGTAATTTTAATTATATTGTATTTAAAAAAGAATATACCTTTTTAATCTCTACATTTTTGCTATCGTATGTTTTAAATGAAAGCAAACTTTAGTGAGAGTCAAAGCACAAGTCCCTAAATTTGCAACCTTTCCACCAAGCAGGCTGATGCTCTGTGTTTGGAGATGTAGTAACTTGCCTTGAGGTCAGGCCGTGGCTTGGTTTGGAATTTTACAGTACACTTTTCTCATTGTTTACTATGAATTGTCCATCAAATGGAAGTAAGCCTGATGTAGACTTTACTGTTTGAAATTCCGTAAACTAATATTGAATATGTTTCTGAAACATAAACTTAGTGAGATAACCATGGCATTCTGAAAAGAATACCTTTTTAGACATGCAGAAATTTAAATTTAAAGGTCTTAGAGGAAATTGACTTTATAACTCATGAGATCTAACTGGGTAGATCAACTAAGCTTTTTTAGTTTAGGGGAGTTTTTCTTACCTTTCCTGACAGTGAGTGTCAGTTTTATCAATGAAATCATAAAAATAAAATCTTACCCCAACAAAACCCTAAAAATAAAAAATAAAGATATTTAGTCCATTCAGTAAATTTGTAGTTTATAATAGCATAAAAATAAATAGACTTACCCTCAGTTGGTTCAAAATAGAAGTGATTAACTGTGAAAGAAGAAAAATCAGTGATTAATACTATCAGTAGGTTTATTTTTAACTCATTTTTAGTGTATGTGTAAGTTGAAATAGTTTGTATACAAATTTTTTTTGAAAAATTACTTCCATTTTATTGCATAGTATTTTGTTTACATGATGTAAGATTTTAAAACAAAGGTGCATTACTTAGCTGTAAATTCCTTTAATTCACAGAAATGTGTTCTTGTTTTGTAACTGTGATCACAGCATTTGAAAGTCAGACAACAGATTTGAATGGCTAAGAAATATCCAGGGTACACTTCATGCAAGTGCCGCCTTTCTCTGTTGAGTGACACATTCACATTTCTCTGTTGAGTGACACATTCACATGCACATTCTCTGTTGAGTGACACTTGAATCAGAATCTCAGTGCAACTCTGAATACACACTTTGTCTCAAGAATTTGCTTGCACAAACTGATTTACTGGAAAGGTACTTCTTTGTAGTTTCTACCTGGTTCTTTTGTTTAGAGCTCAGCAGCCAGCACAAGAAATTGACCACACTACTTTAATGGTGAATCCCTTTCCTTGGAGAGTTATGAGCCCCAGAGTATGTGCAAGAATGTTTATGCTAAATATTATCCAACCTTGGCAGTTCTAAGGTAAGAACAATAAGAACAATGCTCCAGGGTAGTGTCCTTTCCTGCTCTCTGCCTTAACTAGGAGTGCTGAGAGGAAAAAAAATCTCATCACTATGTAGATACTGTGGTTCTGTAAGTTGTTCTCTCAGGATCCTTTTCCAGAATAGGTTGTGGCCAACATTGCTTTTAAAAAGCTCTGGTAATTTGAATGAGGCAAATGTCTTGGAAAACATTTCCGCCAGAAATGTTAGTTAAATTCTCTGAGTTAAATTCACCAAGATCACACAGCTGATTTAATTATACAGATGAATTGAAGATCTAGATTAGATCTAGGATGAAATCCAGGATCTAGGATGAGATTAGGAACATGCACCAAGTGCTCCTTAGCCATGCTTGGATATAAAGGTGAACTTTCTAATTCATAATTATTCATGGTTATGCATTCAAGGTAGTCTCTCAGACAACTTCAGTTAGTGGTATACTAGAGTTTTATGATTTGCCCTTTGGAAATGGACTGTAATACTGCTTATACAGAGTGCGTTGGGGAACAGCACCAGGGATTTGACCTCTATGATTTAGGTTTTTATTTAATTAGGCTCAGAGGCTACCTGTTTGACTTTCAGTTGCCTGGTGTGTTTAAATGGTCCCCCAAATGACTTTAATCAGACTGCATTAAAGAATTTTGAAAAATTTTATGTCAGGCAACAAATGATTAAGGCCTAATTTTCTTCCCTTTAATAAAAAATACCTCATGTCCCTGATTCTAAGATGCTATTAGTAATAAAAGTTTCATTAATAACAGCATTTTAAAGAAAAAGAAGACCCTGATTGTGTGTTTTGTCCATCATGAGATGCATTCTGATTTTAGAAATGTCTGTGTGAAAAGTGTGTTTCAAACAAAGGAATGGAATTTTTTAGTGTCATCTTTTGTAACTATTCAAGTAGTTCTCTTATATTTTTATAAAATAAGATTTGGAGTAATTTATTGTACCAGTAAATCACCTCATTAAAAAGTTGAAATGGGCCGGGGATTTAGCTCAGTGGTTCTGCCGCTTACCTTGAAAGGAGGCAGTTTGGTCCCCAGTACCAAAAAAAAAGTTGAATTATGTGGAGTTCATTAAAAACATCTAGAATTTAGATTTGATAATGTTTAATGTGTTACATATTTATGCTAATTCTTCATTAGTAAAGAAATAGTGAAATTTGTCTTTCTTAAAGCCAATTATTCTATAATCCTAAGTTTTCTGACTCTTCACTCAATCTCATCAATAGAAGAAATTGTTTTGATTTATAGTTTGGAGGAATTGAATAAATGAATATAGAACTCTTCTCATTCGTTGAAGTTGATATTTGGCTTTGAATTTAACATCTGTGCTTTATTTTATGTCCAGATGAGTTGTATTCATAAAGGTAATAATTTTCAGTATGAACTCTTATTATAAAGGATATTTAATGTTTAAAAAGGATATGGAGGGCCAGGGATTTAGCTCAGTGGTTCCGGTGCCTGCCGTGCAAGCGCAAGGTCCCGAGTTTGATCTCCGGTACCAAAAAATAAAAAATAAAAAGGATAGTGAATGTAATATTGCTGTAGAATTTATACATTAACAGGACAAAATACATTTACCGTTATAAGATCATTAGGTGTCAGGGCCTAGAATAAAATAAACACAAAATAATCAAGGTGTTGTAATTCAGCATTTAAACTGTTTTTTATGTTACAATTTTAAATTATCATGGTAAATGAAAACATGCTGAATTCTTCACATTTCTAAAATACCATCATTAAAATTCATATTCAATAGTATTTTCAGCACCCTTCTTGGCAACCCTTTTAAGACTTATATTGGAAAATATAGTCCATATTTTCTTTTGTAGACTCTAAGCAGCAGGGACTTCCTGTGAAGATTGTTAAATCTATGCTTGCTGGGTTGGAAAAAGTACTATGCTTTCAGATAACATTTTTATGAAAAGAAACTAAGAATTTTATTTCATTTCATTTTAATAAGATTATCATTTTAAACTTTGGAATTAATATGCTATAATAGTCAACTTTCATTTGATTTTTGGCTGAATAAATTTCATCATAAATATCATTAAGTAAAACCTTACAAAAAGCATAATTTAAACATGCTTGTAGATTATGACCATAATCTTAAACCAGTTCAAAGCCTTCTAGGACAGATTACATTTCAATCAGAATGTATTTTCCCCATTAATGGCAAATGTAAGCATAACATTCTAGAGATGCAATGGACTTTAGAATCACCTGATTTTACTATTTTGTATTCCAGGAAACTCAAAGTGGTCTGATTAGTTCAATATACTAAAGAGCAAACCTGGAGCTTATGTTTCCAGACCATTTGACTTCAAATTAAATGTTTGCTGTATTGGTATTGGCCTGTGAATTTACTCCATATAGTTACCAAATGTTTCAGGTCAGTAGTTCAGTTTTCAAGGGGGAGATTTATACACTAAATTGTTTAAATCAGACAAAAATAACATTAACTAATGGTTCCTAAATGTCAATCATGCTAATCATTCTTGGTAGCAAATTCTTCTCCATTTAAAATCTAAAGCTTTTCAAGTTTTTATTTTCTATTTATTTAAATATTTGCTTAAAAGAAGCTTTCAGTAGAATTACCTGATTTGGATCATAAGGAAAAGGAAGAGGAATTGGTATCTACAAAAAGGGAAAAGTAAATTGTGAACGAAACAATCCACAAACATTTCCTTTTGGCTTTTTTCACATTCACTCTGTCAGTCTATTCATCTGTGCAAAACATACTGAGCAGTAGTCATTGTGTGTCTAGGACTAGGGAGAACATCACACAAGACACTGCCCTCAGGAAGCCCACGATTCTACATAAATTTTTTTCTTCCAAGAGATTTAGTTATATTGTTTAAGAAGTCAGATATAAGCCCAGGAATCTGTTTTCTGTATCAGTGTTGATAGTTCTGGCAAATCTACCAGTTTCTCTACAGTAGTTCCTTTGCCTGCTTTTAATGCTATTCCGCCATCTGGTGGTAGGAAGAGTTTCCCTTTCAAATACTAATGATTTTGCTTGCTTCAAGACTTGCATCATTTTAAATATAAGATGCTGATAGGCCAGGAATGGTAAATAATAGTTTTATCATTCTATTTTAAGTATCTATTGGGAGTGATTTTTCTCTAATCTGTTGATATCCTAGATAATAGAATTCTGTTCTTTAGTATTGAGCCATTTGGGAATAAATTGTTTGTTTTGAGGCAGGGACTCTTTATGTATTTCAAGCTGGCTAGAACTCACTATGTAGCCCAGGCTGGCCTCAAACTCATGGTGATCCTCCTGGCACAGCCTCCCAAGTGCTGGGACTACAGCCATGTGCCACTATGCCCAGCTGGGAATAAATTTTTGACTACATGCACACGTGCATGTGCACATGTGCGTGTGTACATACTCACAAGCACCCACAAAGGAAGATGTTAATGGAAATTCCTACTTATAAACCAAAACTTTAGGATTTTACTTTAATTTAAAACAAATCTGAATTTCAGAAAAGAATGCACCTATTCCTGATTGGAACCAAAATAATTTGCAATTGATTATAAATGTGAGTATTTAGAAATCAAGCAGCTAGTGCTTGATATATGAAAACATTAAAGAGAGGTCTGTGCACGCCCTACGGAGGTCCTGAGTCACGCGGAACATGCCGAATCAGCCCGCGCCCCGGCAACAATCCACTG